TCATGCAGTCATATGACATATGCAACATATGTTTAGAGCAATTCAAATTTTGAGTTGTCCAGAAAAATGATTCCTAATTACTTCCTGGTGCTTATAAAAGCAGCTCTTTTTATTTTCAGCTATTACCAAGGAAAACTCCTTTCCCAGGACAGCGAAGGCTAGAGCCTCAGTGCCAGAATGAGACCAGACTAGAAGAAAAAAGTGACATGTAGAAAGCATACTTTCAAGATATAGACAGTTCAGACATAAACAGTTCATATATGGTCTGAGCTCACCCAGGGAGTGCTAACAGCTTGCTGCTGAAGTGGTTATTGCTTTAGTTCTTTTGTAAAATTAGGGAAGAATCACCATGAGTAATTCAGAAAAAAAAAAAAAAGTGTTTCCTCTGGAATGCAGTGGTACTAAATAATCCTCTAGCAGAAACAGAGAAAAAAAATCTTACATACCTTTGCCTTTTAAGGTCTATAAAAATTGTACCAGTATGATAAGGTACTGTACTTTCATTTAAATAATATCTATGTAAAACCTACACTGACGTACAAATTTCCAACAAATTTACTGAAAGCACAGGTCAATACTGTACTTCAGAGTTTCCATAAATAGATTACAATCACGCAATTTAAGACCAGATTTTGGAATGTGAAGCACAGAGTTATGTCACCAAGCACAGGTCATTGTCCTGTTCCTTCCAGCAAGAATGCAGCTATCAAGAACATTTCGCGCTCAGATCAACTGTGCATTTAAGTATCACTTGCTTTCAACACTCACTGAATAAATATAGAAGGGGACAACAGAGGAAGCTAAAAAAGCACACAGTAATTTAATAATGTATTTTTAAACTGTTGGCCCTCCTCCTGTATTTCCTGCACAATCTATGTCAATGCAAATCTCAGCACCAACTTCAACAAAGGCAGAATTTAATCCATGGAGTTCATTCAGTAATTTTAAAAGGGGAAGGTAAAATACAAGCTCACTGGCCACAATTAAAGAAATAAAAAAGATGACAAGGAAGAATACTGTCTGCCTGAATCCGCCCCTTAAAGAGAGACATCTGTAACAACTTTCTTTTAAATAGTATTTCACCTAATGTCTTTGCCTCAGAGTTCAGCATCTGCATAAAACGGGGAAACAAAAGTCTATTATCTCATGGAAATACCATAAAGATGCTAAAAAGCCTGCTACTTTGTAGTATCTGTTCTGCATATTAACTTATCTGTGCCTGTATAAACATTTTTTCTCGATATTTTTAATTTCACAACAAACTATACATTAAAATTTTAAAACGCAAACAACGAAGTCTTTTAATCGATCAATACATACTCTTAACTGTATGCAGGAGTAATCTTAAAAAATATAAATGATAGAGAAAAAAAAATTCTCTTAAGAGGTAACCCTTTCCTTTGAGACTTGGAAAAAGGTCAGCACAAGTTGTTCAATACTATCTAGTGTACCACATAAACGTTTACACTTTTTTTCTCCCTTTCAGGTTGTGGATAGCATGGCTTTGGACATTAAAAGGAAACTCACAGAAGCATCACTTGTTTAAAAACTATAAAATCCATAAACCTGTCTTCTGAAAAGAAAAAATACCTCTTGCACACCGTTTACGATACAGAGATCGAAGGAAAATGGGAAAGGATGATGCTATTTCCCATATACCATGCCAGTTACACAAAAGTCAGACTTATGAATTTTGTGATGATGAGCCTAAGTTGTCGAAGCGTACATCACCTCCTGCAACTTGCACAGAGATAAATATAAACTTAGGTAAAGAATGGGCACTGTTGTGTGGATGTGAACAAAAGCAATTTTTGAAACTCTCGTCAATTACTTCATCCATCCAAACGCCTAAGCAGACACTGGCACCCTGATTTAATAGACTGCCAACAGGGTACGTAGCTGTAGGATTACAAACTGAGAATCACCAACAGAAGGCGAGTGAAGATCTCCTGCCCAGCTGTGCTTTGCATGCAGTTACTGAATCACAAATGCATCTTTACGACCTACCGGGCTGTAACAGAAGATCCAACAAGACTCAAGCAATTTGCAGTAAGAGTACAACTTTGAGGAACATCCTTGCAGTCCTGACAAACTATTGTGATGTCTGGCAACAAACTTAAGTCAGTGCAGCTGATGACAGTATCTACACCATAGGACAAATGCACTGCAGACTACGAGACACAGTCCTGGTTCCTCGGGCTCTGGGACAGACTCCCGGTAGCATTCTGCTCAATATATCCCTCTGTTTTGTCAACTCGCTCTGGTTAAATTTATCTAAAGAGTTTTATACAGCTATTACAGTAATTTAATTTTTTCCTAGCTTACTTTACTCACAGAAAACCATACAAAAAATTTTAAAAAGGAACTGAAAGCAATGCCCTCCATCCCCTCATTTTATCTATTTGGCCTTACTACCCTCTCAAAGAAGGAATTAAATTGATTCGAACTCTTCTTAACTGACAGGTTCTATTATATTTTGTCGGCATCTAGATAGACAACTGACTGGTAGGTTCTAAGGGTGTATGAAAAAAAAATCTATACTGGTCTGAACACAGTGCATTCAGATCTGCTTTTTATGTAAACACTTATAAAAATTCAGTGTTGAACAGTGCAGATGACTAATCCTCTACAGGTGAGTAATTCAATGATTATGTTCATGCTGATAACAACCATATCAATTAACATTTAACAAGCAGAACTCTCAAAATTAAAAGGATCAACCCATATACAGCTACTGGCAGAAACAGAAATCATGAAAAATGATAAGTAAAATTATAGGATATTTTGAATACTCCTGTTAACCAGCTTAAATTTCTGAAGCACTGATGAGTTATTCGTCTCCTCCTTTGCTGACCTGCGAAACAGCTCTGCGGTAACATCCCAGGGAGATCAGCTTGCTGGTTCAAAATACCTTGAAAACTATATCCCCCCTGTAGACTGTCACACAACAGTCTACTGGTTCACAAGAGGAAAATCAGATTGGATAAAATTCAGAAAAACTCATGCCTTGATAAATAGCAACCCACATCCAGTGAGATTCTCTTTCAGGTGCTCCTCCTTTCTCTTCCAAGTAGGGTTCCCTATGCTTAACACACATTGTAAGGGTCAGTGACAAAGCCTTTCAAAAAGGTGCCTTTTCTTTTTTCCTTTTTTTTTTTTTTTTTGTAGGTGTTGTAACCTGAGTTATAGAACAATAAAAAATACCAGGTTATCTGAGGAACGCTTAATTATGGCATCCCAGGGATTCCTGACGATGAGAGTACAGTTAGGAAATGCGGATGCCAGAGTGTAAATAATGTAGGGATTCCTTGTAAGGGAAAAATTTGCATCTGTCTGAGAATTATATCATAACCATACACTTCCCTAAGAAGAGTGAAGGTTGAGAGCAAGTTGCAGCATAGTCCAGCACATGTATAAAACAATTCTTAATATAAATCACATTTTGAACTCTCAGTTTTTTCCCAGTAAAACACCTTTATGCTGTGGTACCCAACAAGAGAGGACTAAAGATGTTTTGTGGTAGAGAGGATAAGCATTTGGTTTGTAGTAAATCAAAACCGTGTAGTTTGAAGTCCCATGTAGTTTTGTATTCATGACTAGAATGTGAATACAAATTTACTGAAACATAAATGCTGTCAAATGCATGTGAACTCTAGGTAAATGTTTGGCATTGTTTTTTCACCGGATTCCCACCATAGACTTAGCAAGTTTCTTCTTGTGCTATTAAACAATTGTCTGTCAGTCACGAAAAGTGCTTCATTTTTTCCGGAAATGTTGCAGAGTCCATTCCTGCAGATATGATCTATTCATTTAATTGCCCTGGCTTCTGGTAGGGCTAATTTGAGACTCCCAAGGAACTACTCAGGGCACATAATTAATAGCATATGATGACGGGTCCTTTTTTTTTTTTCTTTTTTTTTTTTTTTTTTGTAGACGACATGTTACCAAAAGCATTACATCTGAAAATTGACACCAGTTGCTTATGCTCCCTTAAACTTAATTTGAGTGTGTTTTGCTCCCTTGTAACTGACCCAACATTATATCAAATGCTTCCAGGTCAGTAAAATGTTCTAATTTATTAATCTTGCAAAGCACCTCTGCTTAAAGATATCAGATTTAAATTGTGCTACTTCCCCAAACCATTCATCTACAGATTCAAGAAACTGCAATACTGGAAGTCACTATTTACACCTGCAATACTGACCTAAGGGTTTTATGCCACATTAAAGTGTTGTTCTGACTGAAACAGTCAGAAGAAACTGGCATCTGCAACTTCTAACCTATATAGAAATGGAAAAATGAGAAAATAGAATATGAACTCACAGTTAATAACAGTTGAAAACACTGCAGTTATGTGATATCAGGCTCAGATATGTATTAAGTGAATCAGGAAAGAAAGCTACTTAAATCCTCAGAAGATGATTCTTCCATCCTATTACGCACAGATTTAATTTTTACCCCCTGACGCTTGCAAGGGTTTTTTTCTGAGTTATTCCTTTCCTATCTGATTGACTCTATCATGATCTTGAGTCTAATGATTTTATGTCACCTAAACAGGAATAAACATAGGCCCCAACTAAAATATTTTTATTTCCTAAACTCAAATATTTACAAGTGGTCAAACATGTCTGTGTAGTCAAGGAAAGGAACTTCTAGACAATGCCCACTTCCTGTGAAATGTAGATGCTTCTTAAGTGATCCTGGCATAAAGCACCAGCCCAACAAAAGCAATCACAACTTCCTGCTGTATTGGGTCCCAGTAACTATATAACTTGCTACAAAAGAATTTTTCTTCACATCAAATAACAGTTCACATTTTTTCAGGATCCAAAGCAGAACTGCAGGGATCACTTGCAAATGAAACCACTTGTTTAAAGACTCAGTTGTAAAGTACGTCTTTACTTTTTCACATTTTAGATTATTACCAAAACAGGAAAGCATTTAGCAAACAGTCATGTATATGTAAACATGAGATGTTAAAAGCTCAACTGATACAATACTTGAATTTCCGAAGACCACATCCCACGGAGAGCTGATAGGCTGTTCTTCTCCTTTTGCTCCACCTTCCTTATCAACACCTTGTATCCCAATGCCTGCTACAGTGCTCACCATCTCTAATTCCAGGTCAATCTACAACAAGCAAAATTATACACACTGAATGTACAGCACTTACTTCACTGAAGTTAACTTGAGCTAGATGTCAAAACCAGATAGTTTTTGCTAAGAAATAAAAAAAATCCCGACCTGATAAATTTCAGGTATTTGTTTATGTAGGAAAATAAATAATTTTACCACAATGCTTCCAGATGTGGGGGCAGGGGGAAAAAGGGGGAAGCAGCGGGCAGCGGGAAACCCATGTCCCTGGAATTCTCTTCCATATGGAGCAAAATTAACACTGCTCCAAGGTTTGCTCAGCAGTTGTAGAAGCAAGCATAAGCATTTTCTAGAGAAATACCCTATTTCATTTCTGCAACCTAAACACCTTTATTTTTCCTTCGCCTTTTGCTTATTTTCTAAGTGACTTCCCTCTCATGAACTTATTGTGACGATCATGTAAAAAGGGAGCCTTTTGTGCCCAGCATTTTCTAACTTTCGTACCAGTAAATGCATTCTTTCTGCAAGGCACGTGCCCTGCACAAACATTTGAAAGCACATCCTGTAGCTGTTGTATTATTTTAATTCTTGGGTACCCTCATGGCACATTGAGATAACAGGGAACAGCTAATTAACATGAAAGAAGCAGTATGATCCAGATCTTCAGATGTCTCTGTGCTGTCTTTGCTACCTGCACCACTTCCTGTGATCACCAAGATACAGTGATGAATATTAGTGGGATGAGGACCCTGGAGAAAGCTACAAATTTTTAGTAACTATGTCTCTTTACCTTGGTCCTTTCCAGAATAAAACCTGGTAGCCAGCTACAAGGAATACAGTGCAGAGAGTTTGTGGACCAGTGTTTTGAAATGAAACACAAAATAAACCTACTTAACAGTACAAAGGCACCCAAAACTGAGTAAGGATGTACCTGCTGTCATCATGAGTCAGACCTGTTGGTGAGGATCTGAGTCCAAGATTTTCTGAGATGCATAAAATACTTTTAATAATAAGGTAATTTTCTATTGTTTCAACAAAAACTGAGTATTCTAAACTTGACCTAACCAAATATAAGATCCGATGACAATATATATAAAGAGTAACACACTACAACTTAAATCCTTGCAAGCGTTTAATCACAAAAATCCATATTCAGGCAATTCTGAAATTAAAACCGTTAACTGTATTTTAGGGACCAGCTAACAATAGTTTAGATATTCACTGAACCATTGTAATACAATCACTTTAGATAAGAATCTGATACTACTGGAAATGAAACAAAAACATTTTTTGCTTCCAGTACTAAGAATAGATGTTTCTCACAAGAGAAAGTAAGAGTCACTAGGAAAAAAAAAAATAGAAATCAGTTATGCTAGAACAAGTAGCGCATATCATCTTCGTTTGAAAGGAAGCACAAAACTATTTGTTGCCCTTCAAGTAACAAACTGCACAAAGCATTTATTTATATGATATTGGACCAAATTTCCTTCCTGATGTTGAGGGTATTCAAAGAGTAAATAACTTGCTGTAGATTTTCATCTAAGTAGAAGAAGGTATAAGAGATTAAATTTTGGACTTCCTTATGGAAAACTTACCTTTCTAATTAGGTGATTTTCTGTATCAGCTACATAAATAACATTATTTTTTATAGCGATCCCTTGTGGTGAGTTGAAAGCTGCCTCTGAAAATCTTCCATCTCTCCTTCCACTGTTTGGACCTATAAATAAAACCAAGCAAACTCAAAAGTAATTCAGGAAAAAAATCTTAAAAATAAAGTGCATACATTTAAATCTGTAAGAGAATTGCATATGCTAAGAGATGCTTTCATAGCACCTTGTATGGTTTATATTATTAATATTTTGTGTAGTCTCATTTTGGTGATTGTGCTATGTAATTACAATAGCCTGGTGCTGCTCAGTTTTGAACTCGTTCTCCACAAATTCTTGGCTCCTTTGAGCTCATCTTCCAAAGAGAAGTCTTAATAGGGGCAAAATTGCTCCTTCTCCCTTGCACTAAAGGACCACAGTAACAAAAGAAGAAATAAAAAATTACACCTTCTTTTATTCTCGACTACATCAAAGCAAGCCAACAGGAAAAACTCAAAGTTCCAAAATCAACTCCATTTCAATGGTTTAGATCATGGTGTAATCAAAACTGAAAGTAATATTTGATTAGTAGCACTTTCTCATTAATAATAATAATTAGGAAAAAGATGACATGGAACTAATTACACAGAAGAACAGTGAGAATGATGGAGTGACAGTCTTCTGCACTGAAAAGTCAAGAAACAGAAAGGAACATGACCTGAATGTAACAGTATGAAGGTAAGCATCGTGTTTCAGAGGGAGTAACATTTAAAGTGCATTAGCAGTATGTGTCAGCAGAAGACATTTAGACAGGAGTTATGTGTACATCATGATTTATGATGCAAATATAGCCATTTCAACCTTTCTGCATGCTCACATTTATTACCGTATTATCAACCTCATTACATTATTTTCTGCACACTGAATCATTTAACTGAGTCACTGAAATACACACACTTTTACAACCTACTGCCAGAAGACAATTTAGACCTTAACAGACATGAAACACTGAGGTGCTGGTGTGTCGGGTACCAGTAGTCCCCTTTGGTAAGCGTTAGGGTGCACACCCCCAGGGCAGGGAATAGCACAGAGTGCCTGAGGAAGGAGGGCTACGAGTCCAGAGGTGAGGACACTTCCCTCTGAATTGCTGTTTAATTACTACCCCAGAAGACTAAAGGGCACCTTATCAGCAGAGACTTTGTCTCACATACCAAAGAGAGTTCGATATAATAGAATTTTGTCATAAGAAATCCTGTTTGTACTCCCATAAGAGAGGGGTATTAAGACTAATGCCTTTATCAGGTTCAGTTGGATAGATAGTCCATCTAATGCCCTCTTCAAATAGCAAGAGATTTTCTTCCTTTCTCTCACAAGCAGTGCCACTGGTATTTTGATGAGGTTTGCAGGATCCTGCCACGGGACAGGGATTACTAAATACCAGACAAAGAAATACAGGACACATCAGCATACAGTTCCTGATTCTGAGACAGAAATGAACCATTCTTTTCAGTGATTTGGGGATTCACCCACTTCCTAAATCTGTCTATTATGGCTGCTCACAGCCAGAATGTCCTAACAGCTATATTCTTGGTGAATTAAGATTTGACCACTGTAACAGATTAAAAAAAAGAACAAGTCTGAATGTTTCATTATGAAAGAGTAAAGCATACAAACAGTGTGCAAGCTTAACTACATTTTCTGGATTTGCAATGTAAAGTAAATATTAATTTTACAAAAGCAGTTAAAGGGAATGGTTTTATAAAGCAACAATGTTACTTACATAAACTTTGTAACAAATGTAACTAAATTTAAAATACTTTCAGTGTTTTGATTATCTGTTACACCTCAATTTTGGTGAGAGCACAGGCCTTTTCATCTATATTGAGGTAACTTCATTTTCAGGTGCTTATGCATTAGTGCAATGCCACTGTTCTTAATAATTCTCCTCTTCTCTAGAACCACAAAGGGGATCCTACAGAGGAATGCTCTTGATTTAAAAAACAAACAATAACCACCAAACAAAAAACCCATCCCAAAAACCTCCCCACACACCACCACCATCACAATCCAACATTAATTTTTTCTATTGGAAAGTAAGGCATTATTGTCTCTATTCTTCTTCTTGTTTGCTGCTGGATGTAGATACATGTCACCATGTCACTTAGATCTAAACCTATCTGCAACTCTTTCAGAAGAATACAGAATGTATTTTTTATAATTCGTATTAAACTTCACCAAAAAACCCACTTTGTCAATGGAATACAGAAAGAAGAAATCAGACTTCTCAAAAAGTTGCATTCACAGAGTTTCCCACTGATGGTACTATGCTATATCTCTGCATATCCTGTAAAAATTTTTGGTGATGCTTATAAGTTGCTCAGTCCTCTGAGAAAAGAATCAACCCAGTGGGTCCAGTGAACATACTCTACTCCTAAACTAAAATTACTATAATAAATTTATATACTCTTACCTCCAATGATGTGTAGAATTTCTCCATTTTTTCGAGTAACCAAAATCCTGTGATGTCCAGTGTCTGCTATGACCAGCCTTTCTCCTGAACTATCTAAGGTCACTTTGCCAGGAAACAGCAGGGGAGAAGGCGGGAGGGAGTCTCTGTAGAGCTTTATTCCAATGCTGTTATCTTTGATTTGTCCTCTCTCCTTGTAGAATTTCAATGTTATAGAAGTAAATAAAAACAACTTCTCTCTGTGTCCCTCCCCAACAAGCGAAAACAGCATGTTTCCACGAGGCCCAAGAATGACCAGAGTTGGCCAGCAGGACACTTCTAGTTCATGCCACAGTGTTGCCTCTGCATCGTTCACTACAGGGTGGACAATATTATACCTCAGAATGGCACTTTTAATGTTATCCAGAACTTTTTCATTGGGGAATTTCGCTGAATGGACACCAACAATAACAAGACCATCTGAAAGGAAAAATAAAGTCGTGGATTGAAACACATTTGCATTTTAATAAATTGAAAAAAAAAGTTAAAACGAAGCACAGTTATTCACAATGTGACTGGTTGCTTTCCACAATGAAAGAGGATTCGACCAAACAAAAAGCAGTTATGTCTCAGTAGGAACATAGATAGCTAGGTATACAAAATACTGAAACTCAGAAATAATATTTCAGTAAAATTACTGAACTTTAGGACTGTTACTTCCCCAGCTGGTTGACATTTAATATGTCATAAAGTGTTCTTAGCTACTCAACCTCCACATAACAGGGTAGAAAATACTTTCAAAATAATTATGGGTAAGTTGCAACAGTTGAACTGATACTTTGTGATTTTTTTTTTGAGATGTTTATGATACCTCTTTGTCTTTTAATTCCTGTACAGAACTACATTGTTTTAGAAAATGAATTCTTTTCCACAGTTAACTAGGAATCACAAATGTAACACTGAACTCTGGAAGTCCAGGGCTACCTTGGCATATCTAACTCTAGAAAAACAGTAAAAAAAATATGTATAAGCTTCTGAAATTAATACAGTATTCTGTACTTCAAATCAAAATGGCACCATTGACAACAGGCAACAAAATAACAAATAGCACTTCTTACAAACCAGGCAGGCTTGAACCCTTTTCCTTAAAAATAAGAAAAAAAAAAAGATTAAAAAAAGGGGTAGGTGAGGATTAAATCACTGATTTTTACCCCTCCCCTTAAAATGTTTAACTTAATTTTTGTATCTGGTTAATAAAGACAACGAAGAGTTTAGGGTTTCCCATGCAAGGGTAACTGCACTTGAAACCCTAGTATGGCTCAGACTTCAGCTGCTTGACCCTTATGATAAGAAATAATTGTACTTCCACCCCATGCAGACAATTATGGAAGCAGCTGAAGTCAGTATTTCATTGCGACAACAGGAAAGGGTAAAGTGTTGCACAATAAAAGACTTAGTCGAATATAACAATTTCACAGATAAGAGAATTCAAGCATCACTATAAAACTGATACAATCTTTACAAATCCTCTAGGCACAGCACATTGCAGCATCAGACAGCTGAAGTTGCAGTATCATTAACTGCTGAACTCCAAACAGCAGGCCAAACATTTTAACTGTAATAGCATCAGCAGCAGCACTTATATTTGTTCTTCAAAAACACCTTAAAGCTAGAAAGACAATTCTGTACTGAATACCTGAACAGCACAAGTAAGTTATAATATCCCCTCATGAAGAAAACTCTTGTGGAAATTGATGGATGCTATATTGAAATACAAGAATATGCAGACCATTGAAAACGCTTTGTTTGAAGGATAATACCAGAGTACAACACTGGACTGATGCCAAGCTATTTCTGAATATTAAAAAGTACTCCCTCTTATAGAAGTCATTTCTGAACTGCTGATAACATGAACTCAATATGCACTGGGGTTTAAAATAACTTTCTGAATGCCACTTGAAAAGCAGAAATAGCACCACTGAAGATAGCAGCGAGAACATATCAGATAAAGACGGTAGGCGACATTCAATCCTATGGAAAGCAGCCTTCATTTTGAAACAGCTCTCCTGAAGTTCCAGACAATAGAACTATGTGGGTACGTACAATGATATGTTATAATGGTTTAGAATAACCTTAAAACTACAGCTTTTTGTCTTCAGACTTCTCAGGTCTGATGATTGCACTGCGGAAGCTTCAATGTACTCCAGGTAAGAGGGCATTTGAACCACATTACAAAAACTATCAGAGTATGAAAAATGTACGTACATAACATACAATCAAAGACATTGCTGTAAATTACATCAATACTGAGGTTTCTCAGTTATGCCTATAATACAGGCAACAGTCCATCAATTATTCAAACAACAGGTTAACAATCCAAACACATTGAGACAGATGCTTTGGCACAGTAAGATGTTGTTTTCATTCGGATTAACATTGTCTGCTACATCAGCACCCTCTGACACTTCTATAGCACGATAAATATATACATTACATGTGTAAATAAATGCTACATTTACAAATCTAAATTCCAGTAAAGATGCAGTTTCACTATGTAGTTAATCTGACTTGCTGCTGCCAGAAGAAATCGTGTTACTCATCTTTTGCACCAAAATCAGTTTTTGCAATAAGGAGCTCAAAGATTTTTGGAACCAACCCAACCAAAAGTGAGCCTGTCCCCCATCCCCTGAAGGGAGAAGAGACTATTAACTAAAGCAGAGAGTAGATTAAAACAGAATCAAACTCCAGAATAAGGCCGAATATCAAGATACCTGTATTAATATACCTAGACATCCCTAAAGCATTTTTGATATATTTGGCATCCTTTCTAATTTAGTCTTATTCTTCCAATTTTTATCATTCTCAAGTCAACAACTCTCCTCTTTCTCCTAGTGATTAGTAAATTATATTTGCCTTTGGTTAAGAAGATGCACATTGATATAAAACCATCTACTGAAGTATTTTTCTGTGGCTTAAAAATACACAACCCTTACTGTTTTGATATACTTATACATACATATTTCAATGCTAAAATTTACACACTTAGCACAACAAAGAAAGATGAAATATTCCTGAAAAGGCTGACAATCAAAACATGAAAACAACAGAAAACAACCAAAAGGGAGATCTACAGTGAAAAAACAAACACTATTTTTCTTTTTGTTTGAACCATAAAGTACTTTAATCTCTCCCTGAATGTAATTGCTATCCTCTGTTTCCTAACACATTAAATTTAAGATTAATGTTACACACACCTGCTCTTCTTTCCTTTTACCTCCACTTGTTTTTCCACTTTCATCCCAAGTATTTTTTTTTTTCTCACTCCGGCTCCTGTAGGAACAGGATAGCTCTAATCCAAAAAGAACTTATTAGGGTAGCTCAAATGCAGAAAGAATTTATCACCTCTCAGCAAAGTACTTTCCTCAGGTATTAAATCCTTTGACAGGAAGTTTGATAAAAGTCAAACAACAAAAAGTGTCTCCAGGTGGACCTCCAGTTCAGTTCAGAGTACTGCAACCTCTTCTACACCAGTACAGAAACGTTCAAATGCTTTAAAGAGAAAGCTTTGTGCAGAAAGGTTGTTAAAAATATTTTTTTGTTATCAACTGATTTAACAGCTTGGTCTTAAAAAACATTAAAGCTATGACAGCTATATTAGTACAATAACACTGTACTACAAAATGTTTACCATTTAAAGACATTATTCATTATATGATTAATGTTATCTTCTGAAATCTCAATCTAGACCTTCTTCCCAGCATGCCTGATATCCTCAGCAGTTCATTTATCATTTGCTAATCACTTTCCACTTAAATCTGCCTCCCTCTCAAAAAAGTGCCATGACCTTTTTCCTTATTACAGTTCCTCATACCTAAAATGTTTTACCAGATCTCAAGTTTCTAAGCTTTTCAAGGTAGAAAAATCAGTGTATTTGAGTCTTCTGTAAAGTGCTTTGTAAACCTACATTATGCAAGTGAACTACTTAAAGAACTGGAAATTTCAAAGACATTGTAATTTCTTTTTCTAGTGAAAGCAGGTAACATATGACAATAAATGCTGCCAAAATTAAAATCAAACAGAAACGCCAATGGAGAATCAGAGACTTAAAACACTGTAAGATAATGTTATTTTTATTACATACATGCTATACTTAATATAATATTTTTAGGGTGAAAGTAACACTGCTCTTCATCTCACTGTTCAGTCTATTAAAATATCCAAGATAAGTGAGCAGCTGATACATCCTGTGTAAGACCAGAGCTTATCTCTGACAGGTCATCATGATGACAAGAGACTGCATTCTAAATAGTAAATACCCTGCGGTTTTAGTCACTCGGAGAGAGACCTAAACTCGCGTCTGAGATGAAATCTAAAGAGCTTAATTCCCTCTCCAGAATCCAGGACTACTAACGTTATACAAGGTGACGCCAATAGAAAAAAATTCTAAACCAAGCTTACATATTTTGTTACTTCAGTTAGAATGGAGAAAAAGAAGTAACATTAACTAGATCTGTTCTACCACCTTTACAGCGTTCTGCTCACAGTTGGTTCCTAAGTCAAGTGTAGAGGATTATAGATGTAGATTAACTTTGAGCCCGTATCTTACGTCCTTCTGCAGCTTTTTGCAAACAGCCTTATTTATGAGGATATCAGATTTGGGCTTTAAGCACATATCCTGTTTCTTTAATTATGCAGACACAACAGATACCTCATTTAACCCCATTCAAAAATGTGATGGGAGTATACACAGTCACCTTTTTTAGGCTGCTTAAAAGATTAGAAGACATTTTTAGGCACCCCTGAAATTTTGCCAGCTGTTTAGTAACCAGCAACAAAGTGACTCAGCTACTCCGCCTGCAACGCTGCCAGGAAATTCTATTCCAAGCCAGCCAAAGCACTTTTACCTTTATCAGAGTACTGGTGCTCTAATGCGTGGAGATCAGGCAGCAGGTGCAAGCAATTGATGCAGCAGTAAGTAAAGAAATCCAACACCACAACTTTTCCACAAAGGTCTTTGTGAAGAGAAATAGGACCTTCAGTGTTTAACCATTGTAGATCTAGAATACAGAGAACAGAGATACCCAGTTAGGGGAAGGGTAGGGAAAGGCAGACACTTATACTAATTTGCGCAACAACACACAATGATCCTTGTACATTTCACTTAAAAAAACCAGTTCAACGTCACTTTCCAAACAGGTAGAAAAGCAGACCAAAATCTTCTATTTATCAAACTCCTTACATTCCACAACTCTTCATAATTAAAAAAATGAAAAGAAATATTATTAACAAGATTTACAAGATTAACATAATATTGAAACTGTTGTTTATATATCTAAATAGGCACCTTTTAATTGAAAGAACATGTAAGCCTCAGAACAATTCTCATTCATTTTAAAACATCACCTACATTATTCAACTCCTAATAATGTCATATGGGTAACAACTATTTATTTAAAACTCAGATAAATTCTAGTAAACTAAAAAGCTGTTAAACTCTTAATGATTTTTCCAACAGTTTTATAAAGGATAGATTTCAGAGATTGCTGAAGTATTTTTGTGTGAATAGTTTTTATCTTGATTTTCGAAGTTTGAAATGACAGGTAAAAATGAATCCTGTTACATGCGAAGAAACACAACCCTTTCGTGACCCAGTAGCACACCTGGTCATTTATTTTAACCACTTGGTATGAGACATGAAAGCATTGTTTTCTCACTGGTAACCGATATTCCTCTGATCCCATAAGAAACTGGCATCAAGCTAAGAAATAAATATCCTAGAATACGGTCTGCCATAATTATCACTCAACATTTCCGAAAATAGCAGAAGGGAAAAACAGATGTGATACAGTGCAAAGCTGAAACAAACTTTTGGAAGGACTATGTTTCAAAAACGTATGCTGACAGACGTAGAAATCCCCAAAACTTCCACCCTGACAGTTTCAACAAACTAAGTCCTTCGAGACCCAGAAGAAGCTGTTGCTGCTGAAGCGAGAAGGAGGCTTGTTTTCTGTTTCACTCTGAGGAGGATTGGTCTCTACCTCCATATATTTATAAACATAAACGGATGTACACACATTCAGATTTGGTAACAATAATGAGAATAATTTATCAAGTTTATGCATTATTTCCTCATAAGAGCAATGCTTTACTGTTTATTTTTTTAAAGGAGAGAGTAACATCTATTTTATGGCATTGCTCCCCTTTTCAGAAGAACTAAAATACCTTTCTTAAAAAATTACTGGAAATTAAAAATGTTGGCTACCAATTTGTACTTTTTTAGAGGAGAAAATAAGCTTTGACAGAACACACAAAGTGAAACAATACTAATGACAAAAGTGAAAATTTAATCAGGGTTCCACATCTAGACAGAAGTAGTCACTTTGCCCCATTGGTTACAAGTCAGAATTCATTCCCATGATACACATGTGATTTTAACCCTAAAATTCACCGGCCCAAGGTCTTTCAGTCAGATGTTGCTCCCACAGTTGCAGAGCTTCGTTAAAGATAAAAGGACCCCAAGTAGGATTTGCAAGATCTTACAAGAATTAACCTTTGATTTCACACTTATCACAAGAGATACAGAAATGTGTAAAACGTGTGAAAGGGAAATGGGCACACCACTGAAGGAGGATGACACCTTCAGCACAGTTTGTATTATCCGGGACGTGAAAACTGACAAGCACAGATAAGTCACAGAGAGAGCTCCCTGTAGCTTCTGAGAAACCAAGGAGCTCTGGAGGAAGCTGCAAGAGCTGGTAAAGTTCTCACTATGACCAGAGAGATATCAGTGTATTGTACAGAAGGGAAAGGTTTTATTAAAAAAAAAAAAAAAAGAGGAAAGTAATGAATCATAAAACGGTTTAGGTTAGAAGGGACATTAAAGATCCTCCTGCCCTGGGCAGGGACACCTCCCACCAGACCAGGTTGCTCAAGTCTCATCCAGCCTGGCCTTGAACCCCTCCAGGGATGGGGCTTCCACAGCTTCTCTGGGCAACCTGTTCCAGTGTCTCACCACACTCAGAGTGAAAAACTTGTTCCTAATATCTAATCTAAACCTTCCCTCTTCCAGTTTGAAGCTATCACCCTTCATCCTATCGCTACATGCCCTCGCAAAAAGCCCCTCCCCGTCTCTCCTGCAGCGGCTTTAGGGGCTGGAAGGGGCTCTGAGGTCCCCCCGGAGCCTTCTCTTCTCCAGGCGGAACAACCCCAAGTCTTTCAGCCTGTCTTCACAGCAGCAGTGCTTCAGCCTTCTGATCATCTTCGAGGCCCTCCAGGGAGGCTTTAAAGAACAGTTTTTTTGCAAGTAGTAAGAGAGGGAGCATTTATAAAGGGGTTCTTTTTTCTCGCCCGTTACTTTCGGGAGTGACACTTCCTGTAACTAGAACCGCCTTCTGAAAACGCCGCTAACGGGGCCGTCGTTACACGGCCCTCACAGGCAGCGGCATTTCATGACAGACACCACACTGTGACCGCCGGGGCTCAGCCACCTCCACCGGGGGAGGCCCCTCAGCCGCCGGCCCACCCGCCCGGCCAGCCCGGGCCTCCCAACCGCGCTCCGCCGCGGGGCCTGACCCGCTGGGGCCCCGCCACCCACCTCCGCCGAGCTCGGGCACCGTTAGGTCCCGCTCCCGGCTGTCCATCTTCTTCAGGTACTGGTAGACCAAGTTCTCCTTCTCCTGGGGAGTGTCGGCGTCGAGCAGGGCGTACTCCAGCTGGGTCTGGGCGGGCAGGAGCCCCGCCAGGCCCCCCGCCGCCATGACGGGACGCTGTTTACCTGCCGGCCGATTCGCCGCCGCACATTCGGCACCGCCGGGGAGGGAAACCGTAAATCACCAAAAATCAAACCTAAGCGAAAGTACGCATTAGCCGGTTTGCCTTAAAGGGGAACCTCCTCATTCCTTCCGTGTCTTGACATAGCTTTGCTATTCGCAGAAGCACATTCGTGAAGAGAATCCCCGGCGGTGGTTCCAGCTCAAGCAGATTCGACACAGCCTCCTTTTCCCGCCCAGTGACTTTTTTAAATTTTTCAGTGGGATAGATGCGAAAATCGGACTGTACCGAGCCAAGTCCAAACAAGGCACCTATATTTTTTTTTTTTTTTTTTTTTGGGGTGTGTGGGTGGGTGCTACGAGAGAAGCAGAAAGTTGAGCATCAGCCGCGGTGGCGAAACTGCGGAAGCGAATGCGTTGCTGTGGCGGGGAACGGCTGAGGAGAGGCGCGGGTTCGAGGAGGTGCCGGCCCGCACCCTCGGTATCGGCGGGAGGGCAGGAGGCCGCGGACAGGCAGCCGCCCTCGGTACCGGCGGAAGGCAGGCCCGGCGACAGGCAGCCGCCCTCGGTGGCTGTGGCGGGTCCGGTGGCGGCGGGGAGCGCGGCCCCTCCCGGCAGCGCCGCAGCGGTGTCGGCCTTTGCCGTGTGGTGACTCCCGGCAGCTGATCTCTTCGTCGTTTTCTTTTAAAATCTTGCCGCTTCGGAGCAGCGAGGTGTGAGGCAGGGCCTTCACCCTCCGAGGCGGGCTGGGTGCTGAGGAGAGGGGTAGCTGAGGGACATGGCCCGCCCTGTCAGTCTTCCTGCATCCGACAGGCTGGGGGTTTGTGTAACAGCAGCAGCTACAAATATTCAGAGAGACGCTAATTAAATTATTTTTTTTTAGGATAGGATCCACCATGCTTCTGTCCCTTCACGGGCTGTGGTTTGGTTTGTGGGCCAGTGTTGCTTTTTTAAAATGGAGTTCAGGTGCTTTTCTTCAGATAGCGAAGAGAGGAGGGAAGAGAAAATATATTAGCAGAAAGAAAGGGAGATTTGTGAACTGTTGCTTAAAAGCAAGGGGAATATTTAATGAGTTGCCATGTCTGAAGATGCTTTGTTGGAAGAGGACATTTGGGAGTACAAATCCATTAGGAAGCAAAAGCACCAAGGTAACTCAGAGAGCAGCTCTACACCAGCAGAGAAAGTAAGTGATGGCAAGGGCAGGCCAAAAAGAAAGAGAAATAGAAATAATAAAAAATCATCCCTAGAAAAAGCTGATACACCTCAGAAAACTGGGCAGAGAACAAGGCCAAACCAGGATGTAGACCAAAGCAAAGATGACAGTGGTGAGCACTCCCAGGAAAGCGTGAGTAGCGTGACGGAACAGAGCTCGCAGAGTGCCAAGCCCCTTCATGATGGATACTGTCCCAGCTGCCAGATGCCTTTCTCTTTGCTGTTGGTCCAGACACCTCGATGGCACGTTGCTGAATGTTTGGATGCTCCAGGATCCATTGAAAAAGGTACGAATGGAGTAGGAAAAAAGCCTCCAGAGAAAAGTTAAAGGCTCGTGACGCAATATTGCTGCAAACCTTGGTTTTCATATTTAGTTCAAAATCTGAGAGGGTAGTTGGTGTGATTTTTAGAATGTTATTAACGATAATTTATCAGTATTATTTTTGTTTAATATTTTTGGGGGTTTTGTGAACAACATGGAAATCTGAGATGAAAATCTCATATGAGAATCTAATCTCAAAAGTTTGTAGAGTAGTGATAAAGTTTCATAGTTGTTTATCAAGCTCCAGTTTTAGTAGTTTATTGAAGAAATTGAAGGTACATATTTACTGTTTTAAAATAACGGGACTTGTTTCAATTACTAAGTCAGTGTCAGCAAAAAAACACCTTCAATTAAGAGAGTGCTACTTCTGGACTGGATTTCTTTCTCCTTAGGTATAAATTTTATTATCCTGTACCTATGTTGCTGTGTAACTTGTCCAGTTGTCAATGGACAGTTGGAAGCTGCAATTAGTCTGTTAGGCTAATTTCTTTGAAATGTTAACTTTTGATCCAGTATGCTTTAGAAATTTTATACAGAATTACACATGAACATTCCTGTTTCATAAGACAACACAGATTTGCTTTGAGTTCTGTACGAGAGAAATAAAACTGACTCATTCCAATTGCCAGTTTCATGTGGGGAAATACCATGTCTGAACAGATCCAGGTATCCAACTTCTCATTCTTAACACACCTCATAAGTTTTGAAAAACGGAAAGCATACAGTCAGGAAACTTGAGTCAAGGCTGTTTAGGCAACACAGTCACTTTTCTTTTTATATATTTGTAACTTTCATTGAAGTTTCTTCTTCAGAAGAATGAACTTTGGGAGGGGATCTTGTCAATGCTTATAAATACTTAAAGGGTGGGTGTCAGGAGGATGGGGCCATTCTGGGGCCAGTCTTTTTTCAGTGGTGCGTAGTGACAGGACAAGAGGTACTGGGCACAAACTTGCATATAAGAAGTTTAACCTAAACATGAGGAAGAACTCCTTTACTTTCAGGGTGGCAGAGCCCTGGAACAGGCTGCCCAGAGAGGTGGTGAAGTCTCCCGTCTCTGGAGACATTCAGAACCTGCCTGGACATGTTCCTGTGCAGGTCTAGGTGGACCTGCTTTGGCAGGGAGTTGGACTAGATGATCTCCAGAGGTCCCTTCCAACCCCATATCATTCTGTGATTCTGTAACTGTGAGCCCTTTTATCCTTATTTTGGCAATGAATTTAACTTACAGCAGATGTGTTATTGCCTCATTTTCATCTATTACTTCCATAATTAACAAATGAAAAATCCTTCTGATTGATTTTTGCATTCACCTTAAAATCCTCAAAGGTTAGTCTAGCAAACTCTCAACCAAAAACGTCTTAGGGAACAGCCACAGCTTTTTTGCTGACATATGAATCCTGAATGCTTTTTTTCACATAAGAAAATACCTGAATTTTTTTGTTTCGTTTTGTTTTTTAATTTATCCCGTAACCCAGCAGAACATTTCACATGGAATTTCAGCTTGATTCTGAACCAAGGCTTGGTTTTTTCTGAAACATGTCTACTGGCCTTTTCTGGTGCTGCTGCTCTGAGCTCATAGCTTGCGTGTGACATGATTCTAAACTAGAAGCCATGTGATTACATTAGCACAGTATTCAAACAAGGTTAAGTACTTTTGCTGTTAGAGGGCTGTATTAATTCAGGCATAGCCCTGTATTAGCAGCAGCTGCTTGTTTTTTGGTTGGAAGCATTCTCATTTCTGGCCAGCTCAGGGCAGAAGGTCTTGGCAACTTGAAAATTTCTTTTTTGCTTATTATGCCTTCTGTCCCCCAATAGCTTCATTTCTAAGAAAAAGCTTTTAAATTGTGTGTCATGTGTGGTTTTTATTTTAATGATTATGCCAACTGTATTTGCAAATAAATTAACATTGTTTCCCCGTTTAACTGTTTTTTGTAGAGTGTCCTGATGGTTTACTGTGCAATTCCACCATTCCATCCCACTACAAGCGCTATAGCCATTTTCTACTTGCAGCAAGCAGGGCAGGAGATTATGTTGTAGACTCTTCAGTAAACACTTTGGAAGGGAAGACAATGTATTGCACTGCTATAAAGCCCAGCTGTTCCCCAAGTCATGTAGAGGAAATGTCACAGAATGAGAAACCGTGTAATAATGTAAAAAATGTCCCAAATGATGACTGTGTGTTGATGGTACGGAGTTCACCGCAAATGAAGTCTCTAAATCTAGTCAGTGAAAGCACATCCTCTTTTGCAGATGTTCAAAAGCCTCAACAGACACGTCAGCTTACACAAACCACAGTTAATAGTTGTGAATTTGAATTTTATGACTTTGCATCCTCTCAAGAAAGTGGAACAGGAGACGATGTGTGTAGTCAGAAAGATACAAGTCAGCTGAGTCTACTCCAGTCAAAAGCTGACTTCAGTGACTGTGAAATTTCTTATTCTCCACTGAGTACTTTTGAGGAAAGCGAAGAGGAAATTGAGGAAGAGGAGAAGAAAGTTGAAATATCACAAAATAAATTATTCAAAGTCCAGAACTTTGAAGGTGAAGAATCTAATGCTCTGGTGTTTAAAACACTTGATGGAGTTCTCTTACCGCAGAAGCCTCAGCATGAGCATAGCAAAATAGGAAATTTCGTAATTAAAAAACCCAACTGTGAGGAAGTAAATACATTGAAGTATGTAGATCACAGTGAAAAAACTGTTTCTCAGAGTCATGTGAATAGCAAGTCCTGTAATTCAGCATGTGTAGACAATAAGCATCAGCAAGGGGTGCTAACCAGTGGATCCTCTTTTCCTTTTAATTGCGAGGAGGCTAAACAGCCAGGATTGATTTCCTCTGCTGCTAAAGCAGGTAACACGGACTCAGAAGATACTGGTGCTTGTGCTTTGGATTCTGCATATGTAAGTCTTACTGAGACATCATCGCTGCTAGTTGGGGAAGGTGCTGGATCTCTTCTGACACAGAAAAAGAATGTTTTGAGGGACCCAAGTAACATTTTGCTTAATACAGATAAAATGACTGCTAGTGCAATTGAAAAAACACTTTGCTGGGAGAGCTTGCAATCAGTAGTGGAGAAAGAAGAAAACTGTAATACAGCTGCTGTTTGCTTTCCCAGCCCCATCTCTAAAACAGTGTCATCTCTTTCAAATGTGAATTTGAAATCCAGTCCTGCCAAAGAACTCAAACAAATGGACATTGGTGTTTTCTTTGGGTTAAAACCCAAAGTAAAAGAGGAAGGCAAAGGAGAGACTCGTTTGAGTGAGGGAAAGCAGGTATCGGGTTCAGTAACTCCCAATGGAAAGAGGGCCAGACAGCAAAAAAGGAAGGCTGAGGGGTCTGTAGAAGATGTGGAAGCAGTTATAGAAAATTCAAGTAAAAACGGAGCCTTTGCAGAAGTGAGTTCTGGTGGCCAACGACGGTGGAGGAAAAAATTTAAAGAATTACCTGCTCCAGGTGAAGGAACAGGAAAAAAACACTGCCCTTTCTACAAGAAAATACCAGGTGAGAGATAACTTTTGCTTTTTGTAGAGGTTAACTAATTTTTGTCTGAATGTTGGGGTTTTTTTAATCCTAATTTTAGGCTTCAGCAATCTACATTGTTCTTAACCATTTAGACGGCAGCTCATAATGAATTTTCTTTCCTCCATCTAAGTTGATAAAATGTGGTGTAGGTGCAGATCTCCAGAAAAATGTGATTCCAGAACTAGAGTCAGCAAAGGCTTCATCAGTGAAGGACGGTGAAATACTTATCTCAGGACAATCATTTCAAGGATTGACTAGTTCTGAGATATGCATGTTTACTGACTGGCTTCTCTTCCTTTTTGGTGTAGGAACTGGTTTTACAGTTGATGCCTTCCAGTATGGTGAAATTGAAGGCTGCACAGCTTATTTCCTTACTCATTTTCACTCTGACCACTATTGTGGGCTGACAAAAAACTTCATGTTTCCAATTTACTGTAATAAGGTAAGGCTTTCTGAGTTCACTAGATATTATCAAATCCATATGCAACTGTAATCCCTTGTGTACTGATGAGAGTAAGTAGAAGATCAGAGGTTCCACTGTTGAGTCAGTCAGGCACAGTGGATATGTGTAGGGGAATCTGGGTTTCCCCTGTGAGAAATTCTTACCCTGATGAAGATTAGTGAAACTTCTCTGTCTAGATGCCATGAAGAAATTCAGGTTTAAAATCTCTAGGATCTCTAGAGGTCATATAGTCTGACCTCCTGGGTCTAACTTCAGAGTTAGATCAGGCTGCAGAGAGCCGTTGTTGGTCAAATTTTGAAAATAGGACAGATTCCACTGCATCTCCTTGCAACCTGTTGCAGTGCTTACCCACTCTGATTTTTTTTCCTAATACATGGTTGACATGTCCCTTTCTGCAACTTGAGCCTGTAGCTTGTTCTTTTTGAGTGCATCCTGGAGAATAACCTGGCACCATCTTCTCTATAACTCTATTCAAGTGATGAGAAATTAGATTCCACTTAAGCCATCTCTTCTCCACGTGCAGTTTTAGCTTGGTCCTGTGTGTCCTGTGCTTCAGGCTGCTGAATGGCCAAGGCTGCCATATGTCTAACCAACTCTTCTTTTACTCATAGTTTGGGTACTTTGCCTAATCATCCTACCCAGAACCTGCATCAAAAAACTTTTCTGATTTACTCTGGAGGCCTCCTGGAATGCTTGTATCTGGTGTTGCTCTTCCAGCAGGTGTTGGGGTGACAGCAGTCCTCTGTGATAAGATCCAGGGCCTGTGACCTGCAGAGTTCTTCAGTTGTGTGAGAAGGCTTTACCCAGCTCCTCTTCTTAACTCGGCAGTCTGTAACAAGATGTTATTTCCCCATGTTTGCCTCCTCTCTGATTCCAATCCATAACCTGTTGACAGGCTTCTGAAAGTCTGCTTTTTTTAGAACAGCTTTTTTTCAGTTTGCTTTTTGAGAGGCGAAAAGCTACTGAAAAGCTTGATTATACCCAGGATCTCATAGTTTCTCTCTAAGCCAGACAGTCTGGCTTTGAGAGCCTTTGTTTATTTTAGAAACAAAGGCTCTTTTTAGACTTTGTGTCTATTCCATATTAAACCCTTTCCTTGTTACAGATAACTGGCAACCTGGTGAAGAGCAAACTTCGAGTCAGAGAGCAGTACGTCCATGTGCTGCCCATGGACACAGAGTGTACAGTGAATGGGATCAAAGTGGTGTTGCTCGATGCCAATCAGTATGTATCATTGCATCTGTTGTGGAATATTTGTATATGTAGAATATTAAAGATGAGTAGGTGTACAGATAAAGTTTTATGTTTTCATTATTTTTAGGTTGCAATGGAAATGAAAAAATAGTACTTTACATTCCTGAGTTGGCTTAGTAACGCACATTTTCACTTCAGAAGTGAATTAGGTGCACTGAATTTCTTTCAAGTAGTTAGCTTTTGAAATAGGTTAATTGTTTTTGAAAATGAAATTGAAGCTTTTTTGATAACTTTATCTTAACTTTTTTTTTTTGTTGTAACGAGTACATAGTGTTAGCCATACATGCTCCATCATTTTTAACCTTGTTGAGAGGTTGAATGATTATTCTAGTTGTTTGGACACTTTAGCTTTTGGTTTCTAGTTGGAAACACCCTAGATTTGACTATCAAATGCATTAGGTTTCTGTAGCTTCAACTGAAGATAGTGAAATCTTCATCTAAATAAAAATGTAGTCCTTTGGATCCCAGGAGAGACAAAGCCTAGCCAACATTTTGAAACCTGAACTTTAAAGAAAAGCCTGTTGAAATGTGCAACAAGACTTCTACTGGATTCAGTGATAAAGGGTTAGACTCTTGTCCAACCTTAATGCTGGCACTGTGTGGTAATGCTGGATTTAAAGTTAAGTAGCACTGACTTCCAGTCCTGTGCTTTTGCTGTTCTGCCTCTTGGTACCTTATTTGGTGATGGGCTAGAGGAAAAGTCCTTTCCCTGAAATATATATTGAAATTCAGCACTGTGTCACAGCTGGTTTGAATATTACTTATCTTCGGATTTGTTTATAGTTGGAGAGATAAGATTCCATGAAGTCCTTTGAGAACCCTTTCTGGGAATGAAGGAAGCCTTGTTGCTTATGTAATTTGGCTACTTCTCATTTTTCCTGTTTGTCTCTCTGATCCTCTGCTTCAATTTAAAAGGCATATAAACCTTAGGTACAAAGTTCAACTTTTTGGAGAGTTCATCAGTTCTGTTATTTGTAGCCCTGATTCATGCCAGTTTTTCCCTTTTTTTGAGACTTCATTTGCCCTTTACAGATGATTCATGTCTGAAATAGTCCCACTTTGGTTTTCCAGTCTGAGCACTTGCCCTTCAGACAGCTCTGGCGAGGAACTGCAGAAGGTGTAATGGATTTGCCGTGGCCAATAAGAGAAATTGTATTTATAACCAGGGAATTCTGGATGGAGGATAACGTTTAAAATCTGCAAATAGCATTTAAAAGGAAATACTTCAGTAAGTCCTGCAGGAATGGAGATGCATCTGCAATAATAAAATTCTGTTGCTTCTGAATAAGAATGCTGCTTCTCTTTGGTGTGCTGTTTCCACTTTAAATCAAGTAGTAGAACCTCAGAGATTGCAACTGAGGCAGCATCTTTGTCACACCTAGAAGACAGAGCATCCCAAAAAGACAGTTAATGCTTGATTACTTTACTGTTGGTGTGGTGCGTTCTCTTTCCTCCACCTTAGCTGAGAACTCAAGTCTAGATTGTCTGTGGCCAAAGGGTTAGCTTTAGATTTTCTTCAGAAATCGTGATTTTCTAGCTAAATTAGGCTGTGTGGCAGCTGTGATTTAAAAAGCTGTTCTGCACACCTTCCTGCTGCTGGAGGGTAGTGTATCTCCTGAGGCAGTTGATCAGTACAGAGATCTAATGTAATTCCTGTGGGGTTTTTGTTTGTTTCAGTTGTCCAGGTGCAACGATGATCCTTTTCTATCTGCCCAGTGGAACTGTTATTCTGCACACAGGGGACTTCAGGGCAGATCCTTCTATGGAGCGCTACCCGGCTTTGGTTGGGCAACAAGTCCATACCCTTTACCTTGATACCACGTAAGTTGTGCTTTATTTTTCAGTGTAACCCTCTTTTCAATTTTGTAAGGCTTTATATGAACCAAATAAATGTAACTGTACTGTTTTAACACTTGTTAAACTTGTTATATAAAATCAGACATTTATTGAAAGTCTGTGTATATCTGACTTGTTCATCTGTTATGCTGTTACGTGAAAGAGAATAAAAGTGGGTGGTGGAAAAGGTGCTGAAGTATTTGCTGAGGTGGCCTTATTATTTATAAATGGTAATAAATTCCGGGTGTCAAAATTCATACATTGTGTTCAGCTCTAAAATGAGAGGTTTGTGGAACACTGGTCTTATGTGGATTCAACTCTGTTATGAAGTGGGGGGTGGGGGAATTCAAAGAGTGAAAGAATGCCAAATGGTTAAATCAGTTGGCCAGGTTTTCGTTAGACCTTTCTCTGACTCATGTATATAAACTTGTTTTTCTGTGTATGATGACTAATGCCCAGCTGTAGTCTTTTACTTCTGTTCCATATGTTTCTGCAAATGAATAATGCCTTATGTTATGGTTTGTATGCATGACAAAAAATAGACACAAGGATGTAATTAGTACATGATACAAATATCTAGCTTGAAAGAGCACTTGGTATTTATAGAGAAAAAACTGCAGAATTGGGTGTCGGTGTCAGACAAGTGAATAGTTGAAGAGAAAAGTCTGATGTGCTTAATTTTATTGCCCAATCTCATCTGGGCATCTCAGTGGTTTCTAATAAGGAGATTTCAAGTAGATTGAAATTCTATAGAAGGATAAAATCTTTTTCATGACTTTGTTGTTGTATGCATGCAGTTTTGAGGGCCTTCTTGGTAAATTCAGATGTCTTCTATCTTGTGTAACAAGGTGATATATCTTGTTTCCACGCCCCAGATACTGCAGTCCTGAATACACTTTTCCTTCTCAACAAGAAGTTATCCAGTTTGCTGTCAATACTGCCTTTGAGACCGTGACTTTAAACCCACGTACTCTGGTTGTCTGTGGCACCTATTCCATTGGAAAAGAAAAAGTTTTCTTAGGTATGTAAAAGATGTGTACTGGGCAAAATAACTAATTGAATTTCTAAGTCAGTGTTAAAAGACCTTTTTCTTGAAGATGTAAAGGGTCACTTAGTCTTGATGGTCACATATTGTGTAAAGAAACTAAATATATTTAATAATCCTACTGCTGATTTTTTAGTTTTCTAATTAATGAGTTTTAACTCTCTAAAAGAAATATTTTTCTGCCATGTTTACAACACCCCTGAATACACAGGTGGCCAATTTGGATACTAAATGAATGAACCTATTTAATTGATTGTGGTGAGAAAAATGCTAATGGCAATTAAAAAACCCATAAATGAGGTCTTTATGACACTTTTGGTGTTAATAATCTCATGTTGTCAAGAAACAGCAATGGAATATAATTATTCTTAAACTTCAATTTTGCTAACAGTTTTGCCTTCAAGATTTATATTACTTATTTTCCTAAATATTTATAGTAATCAGTTTTAATGAAATCAATTTTAACAAAGTGTTCCCCAAACTAAAATATATATTTTCTGACTTAATGAAAATCTTGTGCAGTGTTGTTCACTCGGTTGCAGCATTAGGAACCAACACGATAGCTCAAATGGATGCTCTAGAGCAGGCAACTGTGTACTGTTTGTGCTTTTGAGTATATTTAAAGTCATCAATACAAGATTTATTTTCACTGAAATTCAGTCTGTCTTTAACGTGGGCTGTTTGTGGTGTTCCAAAAACTGCATGTGTTTCTGGCTTCTTTGAAATAAGTACCTGTTCACCTCGGTAACATTCTGCCAAAGAGATATGACTTAGAACTTATCAATGTACTTCTATTCTCCTCCTCTTTCCAATTGTCATACACAATTCTGGTGCTAAATTGTAGGAGCCAGAGTTTTTAATAGCTGTTACAGGTTTCTCTTCTTAATTTTAGAATATGAAACACTGTATCCTGTTGAATTTTTTTTTTTTAATAGTAAAAATAATCCAGTGCAATAATTAGGAATATCTCCAAAACAAGGAAAGAATGAACTCCTATAATTTTCTTTCTGTGGTTTCTTCCCAATTAATCCTAAAGCAATTGCTGAAGTTTTGGGCTCAAAAGCAAGTATGTCCCGGGATAAGTACAAAACGTTGCAGTGCTTGGAGTCAGCAGCTGTTAATTCCCTCATCAGTGTGGACTGGAATGGTACTTTGCTTCATGTTCTTCCCATGATGCAAATTAATTTTAAGGTAAGTTCAGAAAATATAGTCTGGCAATTAACCTGCTGGCTAATCATACTGTTGTCTCCTCCCAACCAGTGTTGTGTTTGGCGCTTTTTAACCTCTTGTCAGATCATATTTATTTACTAAAGTTTTGACACGTAGCAATACGTTGAAAATGAAATGCAATTAAACATTAATGTCTATCTCCAAGCATGATGCACAGAAAGTGTAATTTCACTTCAATGCGGTGCTTGTACAAGATAAGTTGAGGTTTGTTCAAAGGCTTGCTCTTTGTGGGCCTTTTTGAAGTAGATTTATGTAATAACTGCAGGATCTGTCCTATTAGCAATTAATATGTTGTGACATGGAGTCCCTGTTTTCAGCCTGTCTTTTACCTGGTGTGATGTAGGAAAAGACAAAGGTTTTTCTGCCTGTGGGCCTCTGTTTTGAGGCAGCCTGGGAGCATGGTGTTTGATAAAAAAGGAATAGGGTTCCCTGTGTTCCTCTCAGTTCCATGTGTTTATCACCATAGTTTCATCTTTTAAAAGAATATTTTCTCCCCTTCTGAAGATTTACATGGAGATAAAGATACTTGAAAAATCAAGAAAAACTCATGCATAAACAAACGACCCATTGAGTTAATTGAAGGACACCTCATATGTACATGTTTTTCCACACAATCTTCTTTAATACTCATAGCAAAAACAAGTAACGCAGTTTAAGATGTTGTTTCATTTAAGTTGACTTCAAATGCACATTTCAGTCAAGATTTGAGACAGTGGGTTTAGGATTTTAAGAGTTATTGTGGGGATTTCTCACTTAGGAAAGGTGGCTTATTCCTGCAGGGGGGCGGGGAGAAAGTTTTTCTAAATAGACTACAAAATACACAATGGCATTAAGACAAAGCCTCAAGCTTGAGATTAAAGGTAACCTGGAAGAAAAACAGTGGTCGTTTACGGCCTTATGGACTTGGATTCATTTTCCTGCTTTGCTTCAGGCCTGCTGTGCCATCTCAAGCAAATCCTTCAGAGCAAGATGGTATTTAGCTCCAGGACCAGTCAAGGTCAGAGTTGACCTAAAAAGGAGAAAAAGAGGTTATATGATTTGGATGGGAGCTGCAGGAGATAGAACTTCATATCTTCATGTTTTAGTGTTGTATAATCTTTTCCACGGTGGGGCAGAAAATGAGTAATGGAAATGTGTATGGATTTATTTTTAATGCGTTGTGTTGTCTTCAACGGTAATATATTTTAGTTTCTTCTGCATATTTTTGGGTTGTTATGTGATTTGGCTGTCATGTCCCAGCGTGTATGGCATGGTCACGTAGCTGGACTTTCAGGCAGAGGATGCCATTGTACCACAAGGATGTCTAGACAGCGTTACTTCTCGGAGAGAAGCAGTCTCATCACGTGCAGGGTCTCATCTTGGAGAACAGGAGTTTCTGGGTAAATCCACAGCATGCCAGAAGCAATGCCTGCACCCTGGAAAAGGCTGGGAAAGATTAAGGGCACAGTGATGTAGTGGACAAGAGTGTAACAGTTGTGTCCTTCTGGTACTGGGGCTTTGACTTCATATGTGAAGTTGTTGGAATGTGGTCTCATGCTGTCATTAGTAGTTGTGTGTCCATGTAAGTCAGGCCCATGAGGTAGAGTTCCAGAGGGCTAGACATCCCATGAGGTCAGTAGCTCCATGAATGCTCAGGTGGAATGTAGTATCAGTGAAATGGGGAGGATGTTAAATGCTTGAAGATGAGTTAATATGACCTCCTATGCTATTTCTCCTTCAGCAGAATCAGTAAACATGACCTCAGAAAAGACAATATTTTTAAGAATAAATTATCTGATCACTTGCAATCTTGTTTTAAAGAACGATGAATGTTATCATCCTGTTTTTACAGACTATGTAAATGTTGATGTCGTCATCTCCAGTTGAGTGTTTTTGCCTTCTGCTGGATTATACAGGTTTTGTCCTGAATTACTGGCTCATTGTCCTGAATTACTGGGAAAGCCAGGATTTTTTAGTGATCCTCATCACTGAATGCCAATGTCTTCATTATCTTCTGGGTCTCTGCTACCACTTCTGTTTTATTTGACCCCTAGCCCCACTCAGAAACACAATCCTGCTTCTTAATTTTGTCTAATTTCCTGCTTCTGTAGTTTCAGCTGCGAACCTACAAATCCATGAAATCCTTATGGGAGTAGTCTCAGTCAAAAGCTCAGATTCAGTCCTTATTTAGTAAGTTGAGTACATCTGTGGTCTTGTCCATCAGTTGTCTTTTTAGTGGAATGCAAATAGCCAAACCCCGATGGTATATTATAGTATATCCCAGTTTGGTATCATTTTTTTGCTTGTTCTGCTGTTTATTGATAGAAAGATAAACCAAACCTGTCTGTGCTCTAGGCTTGATAGTTTTAAGAACTGTAGCATGATTATTCTGCCTTTTATCGTTGAAAAACTTCTCTGGTCTATTTCTAGATAAAGAACAAAAAAAAAAGCTGCATAAGCTGCATGTGCTTACCACAGCTGAAGCCTGGTTTGCAGTAACTGTTGATCCAACCGTACTTGCCCAAGGAAAGCTTCCATGTTTCCAGAGCTGACAGCTCCCAGGACTCAATCTGGATGCCCACAGCTTTCCTTTCTACCCTCAGTAGAAAAGGAAATCGTTTTGAGATGCTCCTGCATATGCTTCCTTGTTCACAGGCTTTCTGCTGTGATTTTTTTTTTTTTTTTTTCCCTGATCATGGAATCTCCAGATTGCTGGAAAATATTGGAATATTTTTTTTTAATAAAACTGGTGGTTTTTTGAATGCGTATTCATGAATTTTAGAAGTATTTTTACAGTGTCTGTGCTGTGAATATTTTTTCCTTTTGGTGGCATTGTCCAGCTGTTTAATTCCAGTTTTGGGACTTTCTGAAATCTATCTTTTCTCCATGTTGATTTTCAGGAGTAATGTCAAACACATTTCTTTTCATTTGGGAGTCAGCTGTTTTAATATTTGTGAAGAACTAGCTTAGCTGTTCGTGTATGTTTTATAAACACTATTGACTCAGCAGAGAGCGTCGTAAAAGCCCCAGGCACTTAGAAAAGTACAGAAATATCTCTCTGTCTTTCCCTTAGTTACTAGAGTTTAAAGACTAATGTTGGTACCTTCTACCTAGAACTGAAGGAAACAAAAACAAATAGTGACCATACTTGTGTTAAATTTACTATGAAAAACAGGTGAAACAGTGAATGGTTTTTTGACAGACTGAAAGGATGATTTTTGTAAACCCACAGCAGCCTCAGAATATCTTCTATACTCTAGATCTTCACTTGGCCAAAGACTTGGTGACAATATTGTGTGGTGTGTTTCCCTTTTCTGCTTGAACTGTCTTGTGTCAAGATGCAAGTTTCTGTACAAATGCAGCCAGAGGGAAACTGTGCTTCCTGGCTTGAACGTTTCCATCGCTTCTTATCTTCAAATGTATATTTGAATATTGAATTCTGGGTGACTTCTATCTCTGCATCAGCAGTTGCATCACTGTCCCAAAAACCTGTTGAAGAAACAAGTTCAAATTTGAGAAGAAAGCATGTATTTTCTGCTTTATAAATGCATATAGATAATTTCCATCTGTAGTTAGGATGAAAGCAGTCCCGTTATAATATTGAATACCTGGCCAGATACCACCAGACTTGATGTATTTTACCCAGCCCTTATGACTGCCCCTTTGAACAGAACCAGGACTTGAGTGTTTGCCTAAGTTGTGTGAGGTTAGAAGGGTAAAACTAGAAGGAACAAGCCAAAGGGGATCAGAGGTAGTGAAAATGCAGTGGCAGAGGAATAAGCTTTTTGTGGCCTTGTATTACTGTTGGACTGGGTGGGGTTCTTTTTGTTCATTTGGGGTTTTTTTTCCCTAGGTGTAGCTCTGGCTTTCTTGAGTTTATTTATTAGCAGTTGGTATCAAACTTTTTTCAGGTGCTGCGTGGGTCACAAGTGAGATGACATGCTCTAGATTAATATTCTGGATAGCCTTAATCTATAACACTTACATAAATTAAAAAAAAAATTAAAAATCTATTTTTAATATGATTGATTTTTAAATCTTAATATTTATAAAAATAAAATGTGAATTGCTGCAATATTGCAAGTGTACTTGACGTAGATATGGTACTTCACTGCAATACTTGGGTTTAGTGAGTAAAATACAGGGATTGCTGTGTGTACTGATGAATAGCTGTTTGTGAATAAGCCAGATGAGTTTCAGTGGTGTTAGGGCTGATTGTAAATTAAATATTTAATCATGTTTGAGTCTTCTCGTACCCTATGGAATCTGTTTGCCTGCGCTGCTGACTTCAGCGACACTGTAGATAACAGGCTGTCATGGTGATAGGAGAAAGTTGATTTAGCAATGAAATGTATTTTCCATTTTAAAAGGATGAAGGTTTAGAACAGCGGTGGCTACAGCAATAAAAAGGGAAATTGGAATGGGAATTTAAAGTGGACTTGTTATAAATAAACACTGGTAATTTATTTTGTTGAAAGATGCCATCTTTTCTAAAATGCATGGATGGTTCTTTTGCAACAAACAATTTTTTGCAACAGTCAAAAATTGAGGCTTCTGGTACTTGAATATGCAGTGGAGGATTTGCAGAGACCTGGGGTGTTCAGGTGTGTGCACCTCTCCTGTTGCTTGGCTCAGTAATACCTTGTACTAGCACTGAGGTGGGATTTTCAAAAGTGCCTCTGACTGAACTGCACAAATAATTTGTTGATGAGATTGAAATGGCACCCTTAATGTGAATGTTGCACGCTTGATTCATAAAAAAATTTGAAGACAGATTAACATTGCTTAATATAATAATCACTGTATTTGAAGTACTGTATTTAGATTTCATTAAAGCAAGGGGAGCAAATATGTGAATTACTACCTTAAGATGTGTTAATCTTCCTAAAATGAAAAGTGAAGGAGAATTAGACTGCTACAGTTACAGCTTTAATCTAGTGAGGACTGAACGTTTGCAGTGTATTGAGAGTCATGGCAGCTGGCCATAATCCCTGTTGCTGAATGAAATGTGTGTTGTGGTAGGGTTGGTGTTTTTTTTTTGTTCTTTTATGTGCCTAATTTGATGGATTCTGTATGTTCCTGCTGGACATTGTGCTGAAGGTGCTACTTAAACTGTCAGTGTCACAGGCAGCTTTCCGCTTTCCTGCTTAATAGTTATCAGGTATCTGACAGGTTAGTTAGTGTTTTATCACAGCGGATCTATTCCCCTAACCCCACCTTTTTTTAAAATCAGTCCTTTTTTTTTTTTTCCTCTTCCTGCTGCTGATAAAAAATTTAGGATTTTGAGTTCTATAATATTGTAGGGCTTTCAAATGGAGAATATACCTTTGAGATTTTATACAGGACACATGAAACTGATTTTCTGGTTTTGATTCAAAATAATACTGACTTCACTTTATCCAGGAATAGGATTGTACATTCCTTATACTTCCCTCTCATCCTTTTCCCAATCCTAGCTTAAACAACATTGAGGGCTAACTTAGCCAACTTGGAAACTTTTCCAAGTTAATTTTTTTTTTTAATTTTTTTTTTTTTAGAGGAAAGAGACGAGAAATAGTTTCCCTCCTATCGCCAATGGAGATGTGGTAATACGTGGTTTAGTGTGCAGAGCAATACTCAACTCATGCACTGGCTTGCTGCAATATTTTCAATAGTTTAGTTAATTAACTGTGAGCGCTTCTGGGCATAAGCAGATGTCAGTGGCACTTTAAATTAAGCAGATGATTTTGCACCGAAGCAGGTTTTCACCATCTTTTATCACCACTCAGCTGCAGGAGTGGTGACCTCCAGCAGAGAGGAGGAAATGAGTGACTTGGGGGGCAAAATCTGTAAGAAAAAGTGCTTGTGTTGTATGTGTTCTGATCTGTGATGGGTAGCTGTTAACGTGTGCTTACTCAGATGAAGCAGTTGAGATCTGAAGGCACAAGGTGCTCTGCAAATGGAAGTATTTATCATTAATAATTTCAAGGCAGATGGTATTTAAAATAAAAAAGTTCATATCAAACCACGAAAATAAAATTTAGTCCAAAGTTTCTCCATCATGAAATCTCCAACCTTTAGACTAATGAGCTATTTAATGGGATTAAGTGTGCACAATATTCTTCTCACAGGGCTTGCAAGATCACTTGAATAAGTTTTCTGAGAATTTTGATCAAGTTCTGGCTTTCAAACCTACTGGGTGGACCTTCTCTGATTCATGCCTTTCTCTGCTGGATATCAAACCTCAGACAAGAGGAAAGATCACCATATATGGTATGAGAGTGGTAAAGATTCAGTGCATTTAGTTTTATATGGATGCTTTTCATATTTTTATTCTGGAAACTTCTACTGTTCATTGCAACCAATGCTTTTTCTGATAATTTGTTGATAAACCAAACAGATGGAGCTCTCCAGGAGAGATCTGTGAACTGAGTAATCAGGAACACTGTAAATGCAGATTTTTACCTACATTTTACTCCTGTCCTCTTCTTGCAAATCAAGGCTTTTACCTGATATATGTAGAGGCTTCAGGGGTGAAATCTTGGCCTGACTGATCCTGGTGGCAGTTCAATTCCAGCACCGATATTTCATTCCATACTTCACTCATAAGAGAGTCTGTGGGTTTTCCTCTTCCTCTTAGTTCTTATTGGTGGCTGGAATTGAATCTCTTAAAATTTTAACGTTTGTTTAACCAAGTGCTTGGTGTTACTCAGTTTGCACTGATGAATGACTTGGTAACTTAACGCAAGGTAATTTTTCCAGAAGGAAAATCTGGGTTTTCGTTTTACATTAGCTATAAACTTTAGATCTCCAATATGAATTTTTAAAAAAAATATTATCTAAAATGTTTCTTAGCTGGAAGGCTTGCAGAAGTATTTTGGCAAGAAGGTAAGTAGACTGACAGATCGCTGTGATTTGTTTCATTTCAGGGATTCCTTACAGTGAACACAGCAGTTACCTGGAAATGAAGCGTTTTGTTCAATGGTTGAAGCCACAGAAAATCATCCCCACTGTAAATGTTGGTGACTGGAGAGCCAGAAGCTTGATGGAGAAGCATTTTAGAGACTGGATGATTGAGGGCAGTAATCGTAAATAAATATAAGGAAGAATGTATATTTCAAAGGAGGTTGGCTGGAGTGGGAGTGAGTTTCATTTAACTCCTTTTTCCACAGAGCTATCTTTGGGGGAAACCAAGCTGCTATTCTCCTGAGAGAGCTGAATTTAAAAAAAAAAAAAAAAAAAAAAAAAAGAGAAAAAGCACCTTGTTTGTTCATATACCTACTGCCTATTTTTTCCCCATGACTTAGTAACTTTTTTGCAAATGCGTATTCCAGGTTGTTTTTGTCTTGCTCCTTTTTACTCATTCTTAATTTTCTTCAGATTATGGAGATGCCCAGATGTATAATGCTGGGGGAGAAGCCACCTCCAGGATAATCATTTCTGAAAAGAAGTTACAGTAATAAATGAGATAATGCTAAGTTTATGTCACATGCTGTCAATTCAGGCTTCAGAGAAGCTTGTGTCAGGAGGCAGAACTGGGTATTGTGATTTAAACCTTGTAAACAAAATTGACTTTGTGAGGAGGGTTGGCCGGGGCTCTTGCAGGGTACATACTTTGGAGGATGATTTTTATAAAAGACAGTGCTACCCACATTCCGCTCAAGATTTTCTGATACTTTTTTTAAAAAAATAAATAAAGAACCTACATGAAGCCTGTGTGTTTTTTCTAAGCAAAATACATTTCTTTTCAGTAGTGTAGTTGCTAATCTGAGGAACCTACTGAAATACCCCTGGTGAACGTTCTGTCTATGTTGCTTGTATAGATTTGCTCTTGCATCCTGGTGGTGCAAATTCTCAGCAGGTGGTTAAAGCCCAGAAATGGTTCCTCTCCTCTCCTACGATGCACTTGGGTTTGCAGGGTTGTGTGTACTTGAATTCTGGAAGAACAAAGGCAAATATTAGTACTGGCAGCAGAAAGGTAAGTTTCATTTTGCATTTTTTTCTCCTGAATCCTACCAGATTATCAGTGCTGCTTTTTCTGTATCAGCTTGGTATTTATGATACTGAAGTACGTGGTTGCAGGCAGGCACTAGTATAATTATAAGCACTAAAATAAAAACCATTCCAAACTTCTAGGACGTACAGAAGTTGCATCATGCATAAAGAATCATCTCTAAACCTCCCAGAATATCTCATCTGAAAACTTCAGTGCCATTTTTTTGTCGGGAAAACATTTCTTTAACCATTAGTGTAAGTATAAACAGATTCTTGTCTTTGAGTGATGAGCTCTGTAATGTGAAGTCACTTTGTTTTATTTCTGTCTTCTAAGAGAAATAACTGTCTCAAACTCTGATGCAAACAAATTTTTATACTGATTCACAATTCTTTCAGTACGTTCTCTGAAATAATGGCATTGGTTTTATTTTGCATAATGCATTACAATAGCTCTCTTTACTGCAAGAGCTGCTAACTTGTCTGTGCTCATTCCTAAGATTCCACAACTTTTTGAAGTAGGTGTGTGAAAAAGTATCTTTTACAGCTCTTGAAAACACCAAACCTGAATTAATGCCTTGTACAAGTCAGAGCAAATTTGAGCGTTCTGTTTGGCAGGCAAATGCCTCAAGCAGGTGAATCGTTAAGGCATTACGCATGGGTTTTTGGCCTTCCAAATCTTTTTCTTGACTAATTTGGCACCAGGTATGAGGGGCTGGTTAAGCACCCCAAAGACAGAGATCTTAATGGCGATTCTGACATCCTCTTGTTCCGTAGTTGTGTTTTCAAGAAGGAATATTCCTGCTGGAATGAGTCGGTGTGCAGGCTCTCAACACGCTGCTGCTCTTGCCCTGCAGCTGGTGGGTGTGAGGCACCTGCTGCCTCTGGGGCTCCTCACTTTCCACCCTGTTACCCAGAGTGAAGGATTGGTTTTGTGTTTGGTTTTTTTGTTTTTTTTTTTTCTTTTAAAAGCAAACTCATTTCTGAAACTAACCACAATAAATGATGTATCTTGGAAGACACTGACGTTGGCATCTGGTAGAGTGACCCAGTTAATGTTGTCCTGATTTGGAACAGATGCTGATGGGCTCGCTTCAGCTGGCAAAGCAGAATGGCTTTTGGGCCGGGTTCCTTCTTGGTCTCTCTCTGTGCTGGGGTCTGGTTCCAGTTTCCTGCACTGCTGTAGGTATTCCTGCCTCAGCCCGCTGGGTGCTTTCATTCCTCCCTCCTTATGGGTGGTATTTGCACTTCTCTTGGCTGATTTTTGTGGGTAGACTCGAATTCTGCAGCATTTCATCCACCTTCATGTTAGGAGATGTTCATGTTACCCAGTTAGGTGGCCTCCTTCGTGTGGAAAAAGGTCTTTTCAGAATCCAAACTTGGGAAGAAATTATTATTTTTGTTCTCCATATTGTAAAGGAAGAATGACAGGATTAGATTGCTTAGATTACCTAGGGAGAGTATAATAAGCAGATACGGGAAACCATTTAGTTAAACAGGAATTTTGTGGGAAGATTTATAGCAGGACCTTTTCTCTTCCTTGTCTAGGTTGTTCCAAGGGATGGCGCTCTGATCACAGCAGGTTGGAGGACAGACCTATGATAAACCTGGTTTCAGCTGGTGTAATTATTAGGACTTTGGGATTGGCTCCGCTTCTCATAATGAAGGAGTGAATGTTCTTTTCAGTCTTTGGGTGGCGTTAGCACTATAGATAGGGGAGTGAAAGCATTCATTATTTTGGTTTAGAGTTGGGGTTGTAACTACATCGAAAGTACCACTTTTTTGAAGTCAGTAGGCAAGGATTTTACGTCTCCATTGCACTTCAGAAATACTGGACCAGGGTCCCCTGGACAGTGGGGTGGATGAGTCGGTCCGTGTCCTTTGACATCAAATGGGTGTCACCTGCTGACATAAATAATACCAGATTTCAGTAAAGCAAGATGGGCCTGTGGACATCCTGAAGGCTCTTCTGGTGTTTTTGGTGCTGACAGGCTGAGGGCAGAAGGCAAAGCAAAGGAAAGGGGCAGCTGTGACACTCGCTTGATCAGCGCCCAGAATGGTTTTCAAAGCCAACCACTCCAAAGAATCACTTTGTATTTCCCATCAGGACTCCTGCTCTGATTACATATCGCCCCAATAGGCAGATAAATGAGCTAAAAGCAACCCTGTTTGCAAAGGGGGGAGAGGGGGGGAGCAGCTCGCTGGCTGTGCTGACTCAGGCAGCCAGTTGCAGGCTGTGATAAATCAGTGACATGTGCCCATGGCCCACGGTGGCCTCTGAGGAGGCTTCTGGGAAGGCAAGTCCAAAGACATTGCAAAATAAAAGCATACAGGTGATGAAAGAGAGCTTCAAGGTGCGGGGTATCTTTTTAAATCTTGATGTGAAATAACAATTGACAGTAACGTGGAACGGAGAAAGGAGCTGAGGTGTCATTGGGATGGTTAAAGCATTTCTCTTATCTGATCAAACCTGTCTGCTTATACGAGCTTAGGAAAGGCTATTAGGATAAGTTGCCATTTAAGTTTGCTTTTTAAGATAACGTGGCTTCAGATACACCCTCAACAATTTGGGATTGATTTTCACTGAGACTGTGTTTTGAATTTGGAGACTACGTAGGGGGACTCTGCAGGAGAATTCTTACCATGTCAGGCTGAAGATACAGTTACTGCTTTGATGTGTTTTCTCTGTCTATTGAATAATTTTTGGTGAGGTTTTTTTTTTTTTTTGGTAGGGGACAAAAAGCAGGTGAGTTCTGAGAACAAAAGAATGCAGCCCAAACTTCCCCATCCTCCCTTAGCTACAGAAAAGCAGCAGCTTCTCATTTCAGAATTGAAACAAATAAGAGCATTTTTCAAGGGTGGGGCACAGGCTGCTTTTTGTCTTCAGGATTTATTGTGATGCAAGTTGAAACTGTGTTCGGTACCTGCCATTCCAACCTGACTGTTGGTATCTAGGGGGAAAGATGGCAGGAATGAATGCATTTCACAGGAATCCTTGGAAGTTTGTCAATACAAACATTAGGAATTTGGAGCTCTCGTGCTTAAGTTTCAGATGCTGGTTCAGATTTTAAATGTTCATTTGGAGTCCTGGATTTAAGGAAATGAAGGGGACAAGACGGGCTGTCAGTGTTAGGAGGTAGGGACAGCAGCTCAGAGGAGCCAGCTGCCTTCCTGCTGGGTCCAACCCAGCCTGCCCTGCTCTCCGTGGGCAGGAGCTGCAGCCCGGGCAGGCAGAGCCCTCCTCCCCCGGGTGCCTTCTCTCTCCCCTTTCTACTCTGAACCTTTACCCGCTGCTGTACGACGGCACCTTGTTATCCAATCTCTAGCAAATACCTTGGCAGGGAAGAGGCTTTTCCACTCTGTCACATCTGCTCTGGTATCTCGGAGCAGATAGTGACTTGTTTGTGCCAGTTTCCAATAAGTACTTACATAAAACAAATAGTTTTTTAAAACCTCTGAGCTTTCCCATTTGGCGTTTGAATTTTTAGCTGTGTTCACCTTCCCTTCTGTGCGTTGTGTGGGTTGGTAGGGATGGAAGAGGAAAAAAATTCACTATCCCAGGGGAAAAGATAGCAGCAGTGCCCCCGAGGAAAAGGTGACACAAGGACACAGATATGACCAAGGGTGACTTTGGAGCTGAGTTCAGCAAGACCCAGGCTGGCTGTGGGGTTCTGCCTGTACCAACTCCCACTGCCTCCCACCCCCTTCCTCCGCATGGGGAGACAGAGATTTCGGTGAAATCTGCTGCGAGAAGCAACATTTATTTTTTCTGATCTCCAGTCATTTGTCACCTTCTAGCAGAGACCTTCTCGAATGCGGCTCTGCTGGCAGCAGGATCTAACCCACTTTCCAGCTCCTGTTTTGGAGAAGAGACATGTTGGGGCGTTCCTCCCAGCAGGGCTTCCTCAATCAGCCAAAGGCAGGTTGGATTTCACCTGGTCCCGGAGCTGTGCTGCTGGCTTGGTGCTCTGCCCTCCTCTCCGGCAGCTGTTGGTGGAACAAGGGAGGTGAAGCTGTTAATTTGGTTTTTCGTGCTGCTCCCCAGCGACCATCCGAGGAACTGAGCTCTGTTTTTTCTCTAACACCTCCATGGGTGCTCTCAGAACAGCTCATTCCTCCCAGCTCTTCCCCAGGGATGGGGTTGGTGGGACCCATGGCCGGGCAGGGGGGAGCTGCATCCCATGGCATCACTTGGGGCAGGGACTGACGGCCCTGGGGGAGCAGAAATGGGGTCCTGGGCCACAGGGGACACCCTGGAAGAGCTGTGCAGGGCTTTTACTGTCTGTTGGTGCCCTCAGGGCATTACACAGTGGCAGAAATGAATAATGAGTGACTTCATTTGAAGCCAGCAGGTGTTTGGGCTCTCATGTCCCTGTTTGGTGCCTTCCAGTTTGCTCCTGTGATGCTCATTCAAACGAGCAGCCTGATTCCTGTGCCTGCTGGGGACAGCAAACATCTTACCTCTGCCTGCTACAGATTTGGCTGTGACCTTGGGCTGTTCATCAGGAAGCACCAAGAACCAACACAAGGAGGTGAAGGTGAGCAGGAGCCCATCAGCCAGGACCACCCCTTGCTGAGATCACAGAATGGTAGGGGTTGGAAGGTACCTTCAGAGATCATCTAGTCCAGCCCTGCTGCCAAAGCAGGATCACTTATAGCTGGGTGCCAGGACCATGGAGCGGTGGATGTTCCAGCACAGAGCCAGAGAGACCA